TCTTGGCCTTTCATTTCTATATGGGAATTTGGGAACTTTTGGCTGTTATGTTTCCCCTCTATGGCCTATATATATGAGATATTTTGAGAAGTTTAAATAGATTATGATGTAAGTGATTTTTGGAGATAAAACCTGCGGGTTTGTTGTTTGGAAAAGCTTGCGAGCTTTGTCCATTCCCTCTTCCACCTCCTTCGGAAATCCTGCGGGCTCTTTCCAATCTTCGTCTCGTCTCCTAATCTCTTTCTTCTCTCCATAGTAATCATTCCATTGTATCCTTCTTCTCTTGGAAAGCAACTTTAGGTGTCTTGTAAGAGTCATTTGTAAGAGTCATTTGAGTCGTTTGTAAGTGTCCAAGTTGTAATAGTTTTTATAATATTAAAATTGTGTTTTGTTTTGTTTAATTTGTCTAATTATTATAAGTTTTGTAAGTTTCTTTATTCTTAGAAAGGTAATCTCTTTTGTGATAAAAAATTTGGGTCCCTCTCCCAAATTTTTGATTGCATCAAGAACATAGATCTTTGAGTGCTATGATCCTCATGAAACAATTCTGTAGACCATATTTATTTTAAATTTTATTTTACAAAATTCTAGATGAAAGAAAACAAGTGATGGGTAAGGGCTGCAAGGCTATGAAAAAAAGTAAAGAAGGTGATGAAGAGAGGAAAGTCTAGTATTTGAACATGTTCTGATGATTGTGACTAGCTACACACACATGCCTTTTTTAAGCAATGAAAAGGAAAAACACGGGGTCACACAATATTTGGCATACATAATTACACAAATGCGCTAAATATCTCAATACTATTTCCAGTCAGTCCCAATGCATAATTTTCTAAGCTTAGAAAAAAGGCACCAAGAGGCTCCATCTGTCAAACAAAATAACAATGATTTTTTAATGACACTAACTAAAGCATTTTTTTCTGGAAATCAACTCTAACCACTCCCATGCCCCCGCCATAACCCCACCCCAAAATTCAAATCACTTTTGCAATTATTCGGTCTTAAGGATTCAGTATTCCTAAACTTACAACCTTGCTTCGAAAATCTAATTGATATTTGAACATTTTCATGTAAGACTTTGAAACAGGAATGATTAAGCTAGACTGCAAACTACTGTCGACCCAACAAAGCACAGTAGGAAAACAGAAAATTGAAAGGAAAAGGCCCTGACTTGTTAGTTTTTCTTTTATTTTAAAAAACTATTAGATCTTCATCTGCCATACCTCTCTATACTGCAATACAGAAAAAATATAGATGAAACTACGCCCAAGGTCCTAATATATTGCAAAGCATCAACATGAATGAAATGCAAAACATCTAAAATACGACAGACAAGATTTAGAATAGGAAATGAAGGCAGTTAATATACCTGAAACTTGCAAAGATAATTGAAAAGCCTGTGTGTCTCACAATAGTTGCAAATTCTGACTAGAGCAGAAACTATGTATTGGTTCACTTTTCCATCTTGGGATAAAGATAATGAGCTTCTACTTGAAATTATGTCCTCCAATTCAGACATAGCACCATAACCAATGCACAAGTCACATAAATCGTCAATTGTACCATAGTCAGTTGCTAACGGATCTGGCCGTTGAGGAGATGATGATGGGGTGTTGGTACCATGGACTGATGGCTGAGGAGGATTAGGTACCCCATTAACTGGAAAAAACAATGAGCATGCATCTGCATAGCGACCATGCTTAAACATGAAAACAAGCATTTGGGAGCGCGCATACTGCCAAGAAAAAAAGCATTAATACAAAAATTCACTTAATTCATTCATTTAGAATAAAAAAGTGAAAAGAAAGAGAAGAAGAGGAAGAGGAGGAGAGGAAAATCACAAAAAAGTTCGCCAAAAAAGTAAGGAACGGCTAAACTTTGGTTTTATCAAGTGACTTAAGATCATCGCTTGCTATTCTACTTTATTCATATGTTTCACCCAAAACATATATGTATATTAATTGTAATAGCCAAAAATAGCATTTCCATGATCACATGAATAAATTTGATTTATCATGCTGATTTTCTTGGCTTAACCCTAATCACTACTGCTCATAATTCTAGTGCAAGCGTACAGATGGCCCAAAGCATCCCGCTATGACACCTTGACTTCTATTTTCCTTATTTATAAAAAAAAGTTATAGAACACAGAAAATTCAAGTTGCATGACAAAACTCATGTCTTGCGATCTTTTAAGAAAAAAAGTTGAAGCAATATAGAAGGAATTCTGCAGCTTACTTCTTGTAAATAGTATATGCATTCTCCATATCTAGCATTATCAAGATGACTATGGGGACCTTCTTCAAAACGTGAACTAGAGGAAAATTGACTGGTTAAAGCATACTCGTGAGATCTGGATCTCTCAGAACGTGGAAATGTTGATGGCATATAAAGAACATTAAGGTAAGCATCAGCGGATAGAGAATCATCCAAAATTGTTGGCACACTTTTCTCCAAATGCTCGTACCTGCCCGGTAAAGTTACAATGACATTAGAAGGAAAATAACAGAGAAGGAACTTCCAATAGTCAGCCCAAAAAGAGAAAATCAAAGTCTTAAGTGAAAAAAATAGTTAAACAGAGCAATTGTTGATCATATCAGTTTTTTGAAGATAAGCATTTATAGACAAATCATATGGATCAAAGTTCACTTACATGGAACGAACCGATGAAACATCCACAGGTGGGCCTCCTTCAACCATATTGATAATTTCTAGGACTATGGGTGATGGATCACCTTTATATAATTGAAGAGCTTGCCTACATGCAAAAAATATGAAATGCACAAGTATCATGCTGTCATTGGGGGAGAATCTCCAAAATATACAATCAAATAGCAAGAAATCTGCTAAACAAACAGCTATATGCGTAGTAATGAATATCTTTTAAAAATTGATTATATCAAGAGACAGATCAAAGACACCATAAAACAACTTTCACGAATCAAATGCTATAAGAATCACCAGTTCGTTTCCTGATAGGTTCTAATCATATCAAAAAGAACTTTGCTCACTTATCTTTCAGAAAGGTTACCTTAGATTCCCTTGATACTAGCACTAGCATTACAATTTTGGATGCATTTTAATTGATATTCATATTTTAGCCACAAAAACCACTAAATAGATACGAGTCAATTGTTTTCAAATCAAAACTACTAAACCAAATCCTAGGAGCTGATTTGAATCAAGATAACCATCAAGTGCTCAAGTAATAGGATACATATTAATTTAAGGGAAAAACAACACCTCATTATCCCAGTAGGGCAATTCTCCTTTGCTAAAGAATGCAAGAAAATCTACATTTACTCACTTGAACTTTATACGAGCTTGAGCATAGTGTTCCATTTGAATCAAGGCACGCCCCCATGCATTCCAGACAGGAAAACCATCAATCTGAAGGAATAGCATAACCTTCAGGGTGATTTAATTCAAATAATACAGCAAATAAATGATACAAACTTAATCTACAATCTACATACTACCTTGCATTTTTTACATGTATACACAGCCATGCTGTATCTTTCATCTTGAATAAGTCTATCCCGAAGGCGAGCTGATGATTCTTTATCAGCAATATCATCAAGAGAAGCAACAATTCCTGATCCCAAAAGACTCTGAAGAAGTTCTGCGCGTCCTAGCCAAATTTCAACATTAGACAGAAGTTCCGAGAACTCATCTGGATACTGACTCATATTACTTGAACTGGTAGTGTCTGAAAAATTATCATCTGCATCCCGACTTCTATCAGAACTACTAGAGAAGTCATAGTTGCCGGGAAGTTTTCTGAGCTGACTTTTTGAATAAGTCAATGCCTAAATGTGGTAATCACAATTACTAAAAATATAACACAAGCTAAAAAAACAACATTACATTCATTATCATCTGCCTTATCCCAACTAATTGGGCTGGACCAAATCAGAAAAATAAATTAACTAATAACTAATAAATTAAGAAACTCAAATACCTGCACATAAGTTTCTGTTGCATGATATACTCGACCTATAGTTTCCATGGATGCATTCAGAGGCAAGTACTGGGAACTCAATACAGTCTTCATCTGAGAAACACACAATTCAAAGGCACCTTTGGCAGATACTGATTCAGTTGAACATAATGTAAGTAATGCCTACAATACAAGAAACAAAACAAATTAGAAAACTTCTTTAACCATGGATCCAAAGTAATAAACCCAAAAAATGCATTTCAAACCAGTTTACATGTTTTACAAAGGGGCAAGTTTACTGGAAGTAATTTTTGTAGAAGCTACAATTAAGTTAATAACCACTATAAAAAAATGGGAATTATTCCTAAAAATAAATGTGCATCCTTTTAAAGAACACTTAATCATTAAATTTAATTTTTAAAACAACCTACTCACAAAATATGTTCCATAATGCTCATAAGGAAAACCACAATAATGCTAACAATACTTAGGCTCAGGTTATGAGCATTCTGCAAAAACATCATTTGAATTAGGATTTGATTGCAAGGAATTGCCTCATTCAATATAGAACACCTAAGTTGTCATCTGTCAAAATCACCAATCCCAAACTTTAATGAACAAAAATATTTTCTTTCTTTTTTTTTGTTACAGATGCTGGTCTGCAAGTCTCACGGAGAGAAAAGCAAAGCTCACCATTAACATTTGAAGGTTAAATTACATACCTTGAAAAGTGTAATATCAGGAGATGTTTCATATTTATGAGATGAACGAACCACATCATCTTTAATTGCATCTCCAGTCAGTACCCATTCCTCGGCTACGGACACAAATGGAATTCGTTCTTGACCATCAGCTGAGTATATGCGTTCTTCATGTATGCCAGGCATTGCTTCCAAAGAAACCTTCTCAGATGGTGATAATCCTGGACTCTTTCTTTTCCTGTATGAATCCTTTTGAGTAGTCTTATTTACATCACGAGGAGCCCAAGAGAATGCTCGGCGAGCCTCTTTCTGCAGATTACCAATGCTTTGTGTGAAGTTTGACCTAGATGGAATGGTAGGTTTCGGTTTTGGTTTAGGTCTCAAACTAGAGATGGATATTCGGGGCTCCCTAGCAGTAGAACTAACATTGATGGAAATTGCCTTGGAAGCATATGTAAGAATAAGTTTGTCATCCCTCAACGAAGGAAACTCCTTTAGAACCTGCACAAGAACAACATGACTGAGTAAACCATATCACCAGTGAGACAATATCCATGATGTGATGCAACGCAGGTACAATGGATAGTTTTCTGTTAAACGTAATAAAAGAAATTGTTTCATTACTGTAAAAAGTCTAAAAGCCTAAAACAACAGTTTTCTCATTTGGAGCGTAATGTAAAAATGTAAATTTCAAAAACTAAAAAAAAATATGGGATTAAACATGGGATTAAGATTGAAGAAATGAATATATACCAATAAAGCAGACTGAAGTTGCTTCATCATTAAAAGAACCTCAAGAATCAAATGAGGATGTTCATGCAGAGCAGAGCAACGCTGTTGAGAGGGTAATGGCAATAAAGCCAGCACTCGAAGGCCAAGGGCCCATGAGTTAAGCCGTGAAACCTCAACTTCCGACAGGTTCCCAACTTGCCGCTTCAAAAAAAAATGCACCTACGATATGCATAAGCAAAGAAAAATGTTATTGAATGGAAGAGTAGCATGTGCTTATATATCTAAAGGAAATAGTGAGATACAAGTAATTGCTTCGATCGTAAGTCAGGTAATAGCTGCATAGCTCCAACAGCAGCTGGCAGGGCATCATCAGAATCCCTTAATGAAGAAAGAAATCTTGAGGCTTCTGCTGGTCCCCCACCACTAAGGGGATCTGCAGTGAGCAACTTAACAAGTTGTCGACCTTGCAACTCTCTCCGCAGATGTATTGATAAAGATGCACTTTCAGCAACCTCAAGGGCAGCAGAAACAGCCCCTTTTCCAGCTAACCTAAGTGCCAAACCTTCAGGATCTTCCTTGCAATCTGCTTCAACCTGATGGAAAACAAAAATTAGAGAAAACCATATGGGAATACAAATTATTCCTAAAGCTCCTCGTGAAGGACTAACATTGTAGTCAGTTCATGGATTAAGGTAACCTTCACTTGAAGCAAGATAATACTCTTAAATGAGATATGCACCAGCAGAAAGACATGCATGCCCAAACACAGCAACAACAGCAATAGCACAGATGCACAAACAGTGATGCATGCAGCTCTCATGCACACACTTACTCTTGAGTGCACTGAACACATTCATGCATGTGGAAAATGATACTAAAGGCGATGGGTGAGAGAAAGACCTCCTGCCAATTACTATAATGGTCATCTGCGCACAAAATGCGATTATATCTTTGTAGAGCTTGCTTCTTTTGTAAAACCTATATCAGAAAAACACTTTATCAAACAGGCCACAAGAAAATTGGAAAAAAAAAAGATAGAGAGCATGCTATACTGCATGAGTTTGAATGTTTGGTAATAAATAAGCCTTTACAAACAAGTTGATTAAAAACGGCAACAAAATACTGATACACAGACTTGAAGGCCAAAATTGAGTATATAAGAGTACATACTGTACTATCTATTCCAGTGACAAAATGTGAATAATTGGTGAGGAAGCATTTAAGATGAGCTCAAGAAATAAATGTGAATGGATGATCATCCATGCGAAGGTTAAAAAATATTTTTAGTGCTGACCCAAACTGTTGGAACTGATTTTTTTTTAATGATGATGCTCTTAATGAAAAACCAGATAATCATTAGGGTAGTAACCATTTAAATAAAAAAAATGATCATGTACCTCATCCCTGATTGGATCATTTTGAGAAAGATGGCAACTACACATGGTTAGAACATCAATTGCAGCATTCAGCTCCCATCTATGCAGATACCTGAGAACGGCAGCACAAACTTGTGTGGCAAAAGAATAAAGATGAACAAGATCCAGGAATCAATGGTTAACAAGCACAATAATAAGAGAATATATCCTTTCATGCAGGTTCAGAATGACTAAATTTTCCGTACAGGGTAACTAAGTACACAGTCCACATAGGTTAGCGTGCTGCATCATTTTAGCATTTGTGAACTATTAAGTAAATGATCCACTCATAATGAGACGCCACCTTAAAAAGTCACAAGTGATCATTGATCGTCAACAATATCTGCATATGCCATTCACAATGTCCACTCTGTATGGTTGGCATTTTATTTGAAGTTTCAAACTTGCTCCATAAGAACTCAAATTTTAATAAGATCGAAATCAATTCACTTAACTAGGTTCGAGCAATTAAATTCAATTCCGATAAAAATACATGTTTCTACGAGTGCCTTCACTTCTATATAGTGTGTGCTAAAAGTAGCGTCAACATATAGAAAGATTGATAACCTTAGCCACAAATGATAGCACACACATAATCAATTAAGTAAATAAATTGGTCAAGAGAATAAATTTCATGTAAAAACTCCAAAAATGGAAAAAATGCCAAACATAGCCCGTTGAAACAACTTTTATCAGTAGCACTTCTGATTTGCAAAGGGTCACCTCAAAGAAGGCATAAATACAAAACAAGTTAAAAGTTAGAGGATGCTAGTATTCTTGGGGATGATGACACAATTATGTTGAGAGATAGGATGCACCTCCTCTAGGAGGTGAAGGAGACCTTGACAAATAGGTAGCGACCAAAGGAACACTAGAGGTTTAAGGTGACTACTAATTGTTGACCATGATACATACTCCACAACCAAATTCGATTGAATACAAAAAAAAAAAAGATGAACAACGAACACGACATCATGAGACATTAATCTGAAATACCTCAATCACAAGTAAAATGTAACAAACCGGTTTGGGTGGCCAGTTCAACCGAACCGGCCAACCCTTACAGGGGTCGGTGTTGTTCGCGAAATCGAGAGAGCGGGCGACAGACGACTTTGTGCGAGAGAGCAAGGTGAGTTCCGTTTTTCCAAATTTAGCAAACCATTGTTTTAATGATAAGAATTAAATATTCCTTTTCCTTCCTACCGTTAAAGGAGTGATAATTTTGGAAGAAATTTTTGTGGACGAGAAAACGGTCGAGAAGAAAAGGGAAGAAGGTTTGTTGAATTCTTCCTTCATTTTTCTTATAAATTTTGTCGATTTCTTAATTTAAAAGAGAATGATATTTTCTTAAAGGAGAAAGAAGGGATTGAAAGCAAAGAGAAAGAAGGGATTGAAAGCAAAGAGAAAGAATTATGGGAGAGGAAGAAGAATATAGGGATTTTGAGGAAATTCTCATTTGCAAGTAAATTCTTTATTGTATAACATTATTTAAATTTTGTTATTTAATTACATTTCATGCAAGCTATATTATATGGATTCAGGGATTTTAGAAAGGAAGAGATTGAAAACAAGGAGAAGAAATTTTGGAAGTGAAAGAAAGAAAGAAAAATTTTGTAAGGTAATTTCATATGGAAATCATACATTATTTTGAGTCATTCAAATTAGGAGTTAATGTTAACTAAATCCTTATGTTGTTGTGAACAGTTAAAAAGGGTTTCATACAAGACGAATACTGGAAGAAGAGAATCAAAGTGGGTAATTATGGTTGTGTATAAATTTTATTATCATGTTTTCATATTCTTTTGAAAAAAATATTTATGACAATGACATGTGATTAATATTGTATATAGACATTTTTATATGTTATTGTTAAATGTTTTAAATTTTAAAAGTGATGTTTACTTGTCTTTTGATGGTATTATGTGAAAGGATTCAAATGAAGGATATAAATATATATGTAAAGAAAAAAGATGTATGATACAATCACACATAAAAAAATAAGCAAGGAATAGTGAAAGAATAAAATGACCTATATGATAAATAAATGTAAAAATGAAAACGAAAGGGAAAAGGATATTTATGTAAATTACAAAAAATCAGCCCCTTATGGTACTAGCTGGGGAAGCCATACTCGTGTGCACGTAAAAAGGAAATGATTATGGAAAAGAAAAATGTAAATGGTTGTACCTTCGGTACATTTAGATGGTGCTCATGTACAAATGAGAGAGAAAAACAAATAAATATTAAAGCTCTATAAAGGTTATCAAGAACTGTAATATGGCATGCATCATTGATTGAAACGAATGAAATAAAGATAAGGAAGGGAAATGAATAAAAAGTATATTAATGTTATATGTAATGTATATTTTATTTTCATGTTAATTGTTTTAACAGTTTCCCACTGAGTTTACTCTGTAAACTCATTCAACTAATTAACTATTTCAAGTAAATCTCTAAAGAAGAAGAAATGGTTGAAAGGGAGGTTTTCATCAATAGAAGACGACGTGCAAATCACGACAGGTAAAATGACTAATGAGAATGCTTAGTTCGGTCCTATATTGATTATAGTTTTCTTTGGGATTAGTAGCTCTTCAGTTGATGAAAAGTTTATGTTAATGTCTTTTTTTCGAATGGGATGAATTGTATTACTGTCCGACTATTCATTCCCGTCTGGTTAGATTGATTATCCGGGCCGGTTCGTGACATAAAATATTATAACCGTCACATATTTTACAAAATGGATTGCTCAGACACGTTTGAAGCATAAACATTAGCCATAATGGAGATGGTTAATCAGGCTCGTTAGTTGAGATAGACTTGGCTTGATCTCAGGACCAAAAGTTTAAGGCCATGCGAGCATCCTATTTTAACATTTAGGAGTTGAGAGCTTAGTACATATCTAAGATATATTCGAAATTAAAATTAAACATGAATTAAATTATCCTTAAGTTGCTTTGACAACTATGCTTGATCATATTGGCATTTTTTATCTCAACAATAAGTCAATTTAATATTTAGAAATATTTTTTAAAAAATATGAGTCTGGGCCAACATAATTGAAATTTAACTCAATCGATCAATTTTGATACACTTGGAATCAAAATTTTTAGCTTCAAACTAAGATTTGCGTAGTCAAACTCGTCTAAATACTAACATAAAAAAGCTCCTAAGGCATTCAATCACAAAAACGAGGCATGACAACTACAAGAAAGAGAAGGGTAATAACTAATTTCTGGAATAAATTTTTCTATCCTAATATTTCAGTTTTATTCCCAAATGTTCTAGGTAAAAAATGATCAGAATCAACCAAAAGATGCTACCTACAAAATAGAAATATCAGCACACCAGAATATGATGGGCGTGTCATAAAGAATTATTAATTAGAGACAAAAAGGTAAAGGTCATTTTATAGTTGTTTGACTACAAAAACGGAAGAAATGAGTTTCTTCTTCAATAAATTTTATTTCTGTTGAAAAAGCCAACTTACTTGAGCGCCAGCCTTGCGGCCAACTGTTTATCTTTCAGTCTTATGCAGTACTGCCAGGTGCTGCTTGCAAAATTGTGCGCTCCATAACCATGTAGTTGCCCAGTCATTGGATTTTTCTCATCTTTATCAATGAGTAATTGAAGCAATTGGTCAGATGCTCCATTACGCAAACACCGATCAGATAAAGCAAGGGCATCCATTAACTTTCCATCATTTATCAACCTTCACAATCAAAAGAAAAAAAAAAATACTCCAGATTTTCACAACACATTAACTTTAGTTGCAATCAGTCTTGGTATACTTAGAAGGAATTGACAAAAATTCAAACTCAAAATGTATGTCATTAATATGATGGCGTAACTAATTTAGAAAATGCTTAGGAATCCTGATTGTAAATATTTGGCAATTAAATATCATTTTCCTGAGAAGTTTGTGGAAAGCATATCAAATAAGCTAAGGAAATCTGAAAACATGCCGAGATATCAAAAATGTTAATCATTAAAGCTCAAATTACAAAATAAGTGGGTTCAATCACACCAATGAGAGATTATGCACAAAATGAAAAAGACAATTTAGCCAGTCAGCAAACCATTCTAACAATTTTATCTTATCTGTGAATTCCATTTCACAAGAAAAAAACACTGAAACTAGTAGTTATAGATAGATACAATCATCAAAACTATGGCACAATAAAAAAGGTAATTGTAATATCAAGCCAGTAAATCCCTTAAACTAATGATATCTATAAATGCATATATTTCTCAACCATCATTAACATTTAGTAGGAAATTTGTATTTCTCTTAACTTCTCCACATAAAGTAACCCGGAAAAAAATGCAATTGCTTCATCACATAAGGTATCACTTAACTTCTATAAAATTGAATTTATGTTTTCTTTTTTGTTTGAATAATGGAAAGTTGGAGTATTTAGATAGGAGTTTTACAAATGAATAAACTTGATTTGGTGTGTGCAGAAATTTATTTTGATTTCACTAACAATATTGAATTGCTAATTTAAGTTCAATTTTTTTAGATTTTACTTAGTTTTGAAAGAAGGAAGATGTGTATCATTAAGACTAAGTTAATGAACATAAAAAGAGCATAATTAAGGTAGTTTAGATGGTGTTAAAATTAAACATAACTAGTTCTAAAATCAACTTTAATAAAAACATTATACATCTTAAGCCTGCGTTACAATTTAAATTCAGATTTTTCTTACTAAGAATTTAAGGAAAACTTGTATGAGTGCTGGAAGTGGAAAAAAGCGATCCTTAGAGAAGCTTTGCAAAGGATTCTCTTGGATTTAGGTAGGCAAAGCCCTATTGTAGAAAGCAAGCCCTTTCTTGTTTTCATTTCTACTTGTGATTTTACATGTTCATATGCATACAGAAATGATTGTATGCAAGTTATATTACAATGAACTCTATTGCTCATATGACTCAACATAATATAACGATTACGATTTTTATGTGACTTGCATGGAAGGTCCTATCATGTTGATGTAAAGGTCACAATTGACGTGTTATATAGATTATACATTGACATGAATTTGTTTTACATTTTTACAAGTGAGACTACATGTTAAATACTGATAAATCTTTACATAGAAGGGAAAGATTGACTATAAGAAAGTCAAATGAAGATTGATAAGTGCTAATCAATTTTCATGCAAACAAACAAGGCTGATGATCTTATTCACATGATAATTATGAAAGTAAAATGAAGACAATCCCTTTCTTGTTAGTGATGGATAGAGTACCCATTTATATGTGGGTAATGGTAATACTGGTCCTAATATGATATGAGCCAATCAGTTGGGAAGTTAACCACAAGTTGAAGAGCAAGCGATGCACCTTGAATCATGTTAATTCTCTGCTAAATGTTAAAGAGCTAAATTATTACTATATGATGCCTTACACAATCCACTCAGCTTTGCGATTAAAGAAGCTAATAAGGGTGAAGTGAGTTGATGTAAATGGGAAAGCAATGTGCAAAGAAACACTAACACAAATATGCAAACTTTCTATGTTAGAAGTCAGTTAGCATGCAAATATGCAAACTCTCTCTCTCTCTCTTAGAAGTTAGTTGCAAGAAAAGTGGCACAGTGGACAAAAATATCATGTAGATAGGCAAAGGCATGTGCAGCATGCAAGCAAATGCATAGTCGCAAATGCGAGCTCGCTAGTCACAGGAGAATAAAAGACAAACAGATGTTGCAAATTGCACACTGGAAGTAAGTACAAGCATAAGAAAGCTCAACACAAACAGGAGTCACAAGGCTAAGATAAGTTTAAGTGATGGCTCACAAACCATGCATGAGATTAGTCGTGTACAAGTTTTACTTGCAGAATGATAGGTGTGCAAGGAAACTCATGACCTTAGATGTGCCAACAAAAGTAGGATGTGTGGGGCATTCATACGTGATGCGTGCACCATATGTTTGCAAAGTAGAAACTTGCCAAATTGTGCATGCATTAATTTGCGTGTGCTTGTGGCCTCCAAAACTTAGCGCCCGGCCTCTCCAAAGTAAATTTTCATAATACATATTGGGTTTTTAGATAAGACACAATCCAGAGATTTTGCCCTCATTTTGCAAGGACTTTATGATATGAATTCTTGTTTCCTATAGGCGCAAACACCTATAGTTAATTACCCCTTCCGATAACAAGAGAGCACTTTCGATTAAGGCTAGTTATTAAACAGATACGTAGTATGCAGCATATAGTAAAAGTAAAATTAGATATTGAAAATAAAAAATTTATCACCGTGCAGTTAAAGCGGATGGTGGGGGGATGATAATATACCCAAACATCCCATAGTTCGGTCGTCCTAGGCCATCATGGTCCCTAGCCTAGTTGGTCAGAGGAGGTAGTCAATCAAATCCGACTAAAGGATCCTTGTCGACAACCATGGGATGCTTCGTCCAAAGGGATCTAGTAGATTTGGGGTGAATGTTTGTCAAAGGGGACAGATATGATACCACCTTAGCTAACAAAGGACTTTGTGCTCTATCAATTATACCATATTGATTCATTACTCAAGGATTTAAAACTATTGAAGAACATACGGGCTCTGTCCATGATCATAATTTAGTGGTACCATTTGGCGGAAAAATAACCAGATCAAAGGGCCCCAGTCATAACCATTTACTTATGGTGTTATTTGGCAGCGAAATCACCGATTAGAGAACATGTGTCACATCCTTATTGGCAAAAGATGATTTGAAAATGAATTATAGAGATATTCTTGACTGGACATTCGCTCTTTGTGAGCAAAAGCGATTTTCAAATTTATCCTCCTCGACAAACTATTGCGAATGGTGGATGAAATTTTGTTTAAAGTATTTAAGTGATTTATTTCATTTTGAATATCTTAATTTTTATGATTTTTGGATCTTTTTAAATTTTTCTTAAAATCAAAGCCCCGTAATGATTAATTTTGAGATTTTAGGGTATTTAAAAGAAAGAGACCCATCCGGTTAAGATTTTTGGTCAACACGGCCATCATCGAGATTTATGAGTAACTTCATGTCATTACTCAAACGTTGTCGACTCTGTTTTTTTACCAACAGAGGATCAGATTCAGCTCCCAATTTTTGGAGTTATCATAGAAATATTAGAATTGAGAGTACACATTTTAATATATGAAATTTTTTCATAAAAGGTTTTAAAGGCCTAATGTGAACGTATTAAATCAAATATTTTGATTAATTCAACAAGCGTTTATTTCGAGAGTTTGTATTTTGTTGATGAATTTTTCTTGTAAGAGCCCTTGAAGGCCTAACATAAACCTACAAAACCAAATACTTAGGTTGATATTATGACCATGTATTTATTCGTTAGATCAAGTCGTGTCAACTCTGGTTCAAACAAAGAGGAGGATCGAACTAGAACATAAGTTCATTTTTTACACGCGCAGCATTCTCAGACCTCAGGTTTGAAAATTGAGAATTGTGGTCGGAGAACAGACAAGTATCTTAAATTTCATTTTAAATAATGTGTATATGTCAGCATACTTATACAATATATTTTGCATGCATGAAAATTCATTGCTATTTCTTTAGTCCGCACAACATCCTTAGACATCATGTCTATGTGTCACTCTCGTCGGGCCCATGTAGTAATTTTAAATTTACATGATATGCTTGCTCAATGGCTCATTTGTCATTTTTCTTTTAGTTCGTGCAGTATCCTTAGACGTAACGTGTATATATATGTCACGCTTGTCGGGACCCTGTGGATGCATAATTTTTAGTACAGTTTGCATAATGCATTAAAATGTTCATACGATGCGCATGAAGCATTTGTATGATAATGATGATGCACTTAAACATTGCTTAGAATGAGCAGATAATTCTTTTGCATGTTTTGTGATGTATATGCATGTTGCATCTACATGTTGCATGGTATATGCACATAATATGTTCGCATGCGACATAGTATGTGCACATGGTGTATCTAAGTGTGGGATAACACATATGGCTATATTGTATTTGTATGTTGCATTTCTACTTGTGTAATGTATTTACATGTTGTGTGACTAATATGCATAATGCATGTACATGTCATATATTGTATTGCATGACGTAATTGTGTGTTACATAATACATATACACGATACATTTGACATGTTGGACAGTACGTATGCATTGTATATTTGAATGTTGAGCAATGCACTCGCACAACATATTTATATGTTTTATAGTATGCTTGTTTAATGTATATTCATGAATTTTAATGCATTTCCACAATATTTCTGCGTATTTCATGATGAAATCATGCAACGCACTCACATATTCGTAGTGTACTTGCCTGACATACCTGAATGTATTTTAGTGCATTTTATACGAGGCACTTGCATTTACTTAGTGCACATGCATGATGACTTTGTATGTTTGTTTAGTACACATCCATGTTATCTTTTGCATGATTATGGTGCATTTGCAAGATGCATTTGTATTTTTGCATGTATGCATGTGTGTTAGCATACGCATTTTGCACATTGTATAATGTTTATGCATGTGACACAATGAGTGTGCATGACGTATATACGCGTATACATACACATTTGCATGTGTGTTTGTACATTTGTTTGCATGTATATATCCATGTTTGTATGCGTACTTGTATATTTGCATATGAATTTGCATTTTATTTAGCATGTGTGCAAAACACACTTACATTTCTATAATGCAATCATGTAGTGCACTCGTACATTTTACT